CACTATAACTGAATCTCTCCAATAGTTCATCAGCATGTACGTGAGTGAGACAACATCTACAAGTTGACTTATAGCAAATTTGTCAGCTATTTACAACTTTTTGCTTTCAAAACATCTGCAAAAAAGTAAAAAAAGGAATGATGGATGTCAGGCACCACTGTGCACTGTTTGGAAATTAAACCCCGTCATTATTGCATTATTGCTAAAGTTTGGATTTTTTAATGTCCTATATAAAACAAGTTGATTGCTGTACTATGCTCGCACTAATGAGAAATGTTTGATGTATTTATGGTTATAGCAGTTATAATGAACAGTGTTTGTGGAATACAAACAACACAATCATGCTGTGCTTCATGTACTGAAGAATAATGACTGCAAATAATGAGTGTATCTCCCAAAGTGTCTAAAGTCTAAAATTTTTTAAATCTGTGCGTCGACATCCATCAATTTTCTTTTTTCAATGCAAATACATTTTTAAAATCATTTCATTCTTGCTGGACTGTCACTGTTCAATATATAGCTCAATAGAAGACATGGCTATTGATGAATACACTATCTGCTTCAGGGGTTTTACCCGTGGACATCATCCTGTATTCAGTAATATCCCTTGAAACCACTAGGCTGTACTGACACCATTTATTACCGTATGACAAGGAGTCAAGGATTATTATAGGTTCTTTTTCTGCTCCATTAGTTGGTAATTACAGTGTTTAAACTTTGTTTAATTCAAAGCTTAATGCTGTGTTTTCCATATGACTGCACCCACTGTTAAAGGGGTGCTTACCCTGCCTAAAACATTACTTTGAAAGATTAGATGTCATTAGAATTGTTTTCAGCTGATATTTTGTGTGCTCTTCAGAGAATTTCATCAGTTCAGTGAAGGGTCTTAGTATCCTTTGAGTTCTTCCACACCTTCAAGAAAACATTTTTAAAGAAAAACTTGCTTAATTTGGCGTAACACCTTTGCTGTAGCAGGTGTTTGATAGCTTGGCCGCTCCCCTTCCTCTGCTGCCATGGCTGTAAATGACAGCAGTTAAAAGAGCATTAAGGCTGCTGGCTAGCCATTAAATGATCGATAGCTAGCACAGCTAGGCTCAGCAGCTCCCAAGTGTGTTTCTGTGTGTGTATGTATTTGTGTTAGTGGAGGTGTGAAGAAGAGAGTACTGTATATGTGTATGTGTCTGTTAATGTTAATGCATGCCATGTTGACAGGGACCATATGCATGACCATCTGTGCGTTGTTATCTCCATATTCATCAACTAAGAACTCATTAGCATCATTTGCAGCAGCCTTGTTAGCCACTGGATTTATGCAGTGTAGAAAGTCATTCCCATTCTTATTTACTGTGTGCACTTTCCACTCTCCTGCATAAATTCTCAATTTTCTCTCCTCTCCTCTTTCCTCCTCTTTCTCAAGTTCTTCCCCCTTTTCATTTCTTTCTCGCAATGCTTTTTGTCCTCCCCCCTTTCTCATCTCCTATACTCCCTCCTTTTTCCCTCATCTCCTTACCTCAACCCTCCCTCTTACATAATCATCTTATCTTTCTGTCATGGACTCACTGTCAAGCATTTCATAGGGTTTATGTGCGTGTGTGTATGTGTATGTGCTTGTCTTGTGTTGTCTGTGTATGTCAATGTGTGTCCATCCATGCATGGATGTTTGTTTGTGTGTGTGTGTGTGTGTGTGTGTGTGTGTGTAAGTAAGATCCTCTCTGTGGTCTAAGTTTTCATCTCCCCTCGGGGTGATGATATTGTACTTATTGTAAATCCTAAATGAAAACCTACATTCAAGAGGAAGTACAATAACCGGTCACATGGCAGCTACAACCATCTACCTAAAAACACTTCTGCCGAAGAGGGCGTCATATTGGCCCTGTGGGTTAGGAGAAAGAAAATATCTTGCATTACACATAATCTGTGGATCTTCATCCACGTTGCCTAAGCAATAAAGGTGTTACAAGCATTTAATTGAATTTTATTCATTGTGTAAATGCATTGGTGATGATTCATGCATGCACTGAAAAGTATTAATTGTCCCTGATTTTCACACTAGTCCATCATTAAGTGTTTGTGGGAGGAATATTCTAATCACAATTAACTAATAATCGGTTTGCTTTAACTACTAACAAAATCAAATTAGCTGAATCTTCATCATTGTAAGGAAGCCTGCACATAGTCCTCACATCTCAGTTATATAATTGAGGGAGACCATGTCTGAACTTATAGCTTCAGTATAAAGTTGACTATCTTAAAATAAAATGTTATTAGTAGATGAATTATGAATTAGTAAGGGTAGGAATAAATCATGAGCTGCCATCTAATGGGAATCAGTCAGAATGTTAATAGGGAAATGTTCTGACATCACTGTACAGCACAGTTCGTGTTCGTAGTCTCTTTCTGTGTGTACACCCATGGTGTTTAAGAGAGAGACAGTGAAAAAGAAAGAAACAAGTAAAAATACGAAGAAGAAAAGAAAGACTGTGAATATGTGTACTTCATCGCCCTGCTCCACTGGCACGTCATTCCCACCTCTGTTAAATCTGTACATTACATTAAAATACAGTGTGAAACCTACAGTGTAAGGACCCATACGTCTCTCACAGTCCATTGCTGCTATATTTTGTCTGACAGCGAGTGGAGACGCGGTGAGCGGCTATGAGGTGATAGTAATGAGAATCGAAAGATGATAGATTTTTTGCCTTTCACATCATGGCACGCTCTTCATCTCATGGACAAGACTGAGCTGTTGTTCCTTTCTCTATACTCTCGTATTTGTTACTTGCATACTGTTCCTGTGTTTGTTTGTGGTTGCACTGCAACTTTTGAAATATGAAATGAAAGTATATGTGCAATTCGTGAAATCCTAGTAACAGAAATTTGTCTAGAATATTTTATGGTTTTATAGGAAAATGTTGTCTTAAGAAATCTGTCTTCAAAACATATTAATGCAATTCGGTCATTTATAAATGAGGTATTATAGCTTATCAAAATACAGAATAGAATAGTATATCATGGTTCTAATACTGTATGGGAGTGATAATTGATGCACTCGTAATCACGTTGGCTCCTCATGGATCTCCTATACGAGGCACTTTTACCAACCCTATGCGTACAGCCTCTTACATACTGCCCAGATTTTAGAAAGCTGGCTCTGATGTTAGAGGCTGGATAAGACATAGAATAGCTGCGTATAGAGGAGATAACGTACATTAAAACAAAGAGCGGGCCTGGAGCAGTTTGCTGTGATGAACAAATTGGCGGTTACTCATTTTAATTCATCAGTGACGGGACTGCAGATGGAGAAGACAGTCCATCAGTCCATCTGGCAAAGCTTTCGTGATTACCCCACTGTTTCTCTAAAGCAACCACCATGGTAACGTTTTATTTGTACACAGGAAATATCATAATGTAACTGTGATTTTAAGGAAATTTACTCTGCACGTTGATGCTCCCCTGTTGATGAACCTTTTCCACTTCATTAGAAAAAAATCAGCAATCGTGCACACAAACGATAATAATCTAATGCGCAGTTTTACAGTGAATTTGCCGACCAAAGGAGTTCTGTCAACAAAATAAACCCCTTTTTGATTTCAAGGAGCCCGTGCCTTTTATTCTAGTGCCACTAATCACAACAAAATATACACTTTTGGCCCAATTCCGGTGCTCAAAAATAGGATTAAAAAAATGGTGACCTATGGAAGGTCGTAAGACTTAGATTTGTTAGACTTTATATAATTAGCAGAAACAGATTAAATAGTTTCCTACCAATTTTGTCCCTCATCAAGCCAACAGCATGTGGGGAAGGATCATCATTTCTGTCGGTCCACTCACCAAATTGTAGTTTATTTCAGGAGGCAGCGATGGGAAGCAGCGAGAACTGACTGACACTTTGCTGTAATAGGATTGAAAAGGATGATAGATTGTCTCATTCACTTCGACACGCTCTATATAGCCTGACCATGATTCCAAAGACATATTGTCCATAGACACCAATCCACACATACTGAAGACATAAGATTTGTCCATGAAGTTATAGGGAGAACCATTGACATTTTGACTTATGACCCTTCCACTGATGTTAGCAGTGTTAAAAAGTACTCATTGTCCACCTGCAAAGGCTGATATGTAGTAAATAAATCCCATGTCAGAAGAAGCACCCAACACCCAATGCAAGTTTTGCATTTTTCATTTCGATTTAAAATGTTCATTGATTTGTTGAATTTCCTCAGGCCTGCTTGAACACCTGTCAAAACAATAATGAAGTGTACAACAATTGGCATTCATGAAAAAAAAAAAGGCAGTCTTTCATCCATTCCTGAAACATGCGCTTTGTGAAGATGTATGACTTTGTCAACAGCAAACTAACAGCAACAGAGTGAGACAGGCTAGTCAGTGAATTGAGTTACACATCATTAACCAAAGTAATGTTGCTTCTTCATGCCCTCTTTTTATTTCTCTTTGTCCCTCTTTTCATGTTCTCTCAGCCAAATGACACAGATGTAAGTATGCATAATTTCCCCTCTCCTCATTTCTCAAAACGTCACTCTCCTTTTTGTACAGAACCAAATTTAACATCTTCAGCACCTGCCGAGCTCTGTGAAGTCAGCTTCACACTCCGAAGAGATTGCACACACAAACACATACAGACATGCAGAAATTAAACATGCACAAACTTGGAAACGAGACACTCAGGAGCCCATCACAGGTAGACAAGACATCCAAATGAACACCTTCTCATTAACACAGGCACGTTTTTTTCACACTCACACTTACACATGCACATGTCTACGCTGTGACTGTTAAGCATAACACCTCTGCGGGCAAACATAGACAGAGCAAGTGTTCAAGTCATTTCCTCACATACACAAACGTGCCCTCGTCTAAACACACACTTACAGATAATAACACGTATAACACTTTCAATCACCTTCAACTGTGTTTTTTCTCAGAAAATCTTTCCTCTGTTTGTAAATGGTGGAACATATTTTCTTTTCTTTCTGTCTGTCTGTCCTCCAGTGCTCTAATGTAGAGGGGAGTTGTCCACTTCGTTGTGAAAACATGGTGAGTATATCTTGTGGTTTTTTTTTAGACGTAGTGAATGTAAATTCTCAAGTTAGCATGAATTGATGACTTTACTTTATAATATTTAGGTTTTTCGAGCCCCAAAAAGTAAAAAAAAAACATTGGATCCACATAGGTAAAAATAAACTGTAGTTTTCATTTTAAGTCAACTCATAACTCGTGGTTTGAATTAATGTAGTCATTGTTGTCTTTGTCAGAGTTGTTTGACACAGATATTTCTTAACCTAAGTAATTGGTTTCTCTGTCTTTTTCTCTCATCTCAGGATATCAACTGTTACGTGATTGACAATAATGGCTTTGTCATAATTTCCGAACAGCGCAATGATGTGAGTTCACACACATGCACTGACACAGAAAAAAATGGGCTTTCTAGACTTTCTAGTCTTAATTGTTTGAAGAATTCATTACCTAACAATAACTGAGCACAGAATACTGAAACAAAAAAATGCTGTGCCTATCATTTAGAAATACATTTATAGATCTCACAATCACTTGAATTTTCCTTGTGATTCAGATAGGATTCCCACCTCCCATTCTCTGAACCAGCAGTGCAGACATCCTGTCTGTGGCAAACTAACTATGAATATGACCCAAAACCACATAAGTGATATTTATTTAATGTTTAGAATGACTTCCATGACCCTTGGGAACATATAAAACTTATGATAATAGGTCAAGTCATAATATTTTTACATTGTCATATTTTCAAATTTCAGCCTTTTCCCACAGTAACTATCAATAAGTGTAAGTGCATAAGTGTAAGCAGTAAAATGAGTCAGTGCTCATGAATCACACAACTGTATAAGTAGTACAGCACTACGAAGGCACAAGGGACAACAATTCCCAGCCTACAATTATGCAACACAACAAAACATAAGCAAAGCAGCAATGTGCTCTGTAATTTTACTGTAGCAGTGATAGTTTATGGTGAGTTTTTGTGCTCTTGACTCCTTTTATTCAGTTTTTTAAACACCCACATAAAGTTCTGAGGCAGGAAGCAGCGCTGAACCAATCTCATTAGACAAACAAGATAAATTGAGTTAATAAGTGAGTTTTAGAGGTGTTAGTATGCAGAGTTTAGTTTGTTACCTTTGGCCAAGCTTGCTGTTTCCCTCTATTTCCAGTCTTTATCCTTAACTAATCTAACTGTTGGCTGGCTGTAGATTCATATTTCCTGAAATATTCATTTAAAAACATACCTGTAGGGGTGCATGTGAAGGATACACTACAACTAAATCACATGTGATTGAGATACATTGCTTTTAAACCACAATCACAAACCCACAATATAACATAGCCGGATGAATAATTGATCATACAGTTCACAGTGAGGTGAAAGTGGAAAGGATGAACACCAAGGAAGGGAGTTGATATTTCCTTTGTCAGTTTATCATGATATGAATTTAACAGATTCATCCACACACATCATTTCACACTGTTTTTTTTTTCTCTCTTTTCTGATAGGCGGGAAGATTCTTTGGCGAGACTGACGGATCAGTGATGACCACACTAATCCGAATGGGCATGTTCAAAAGGTAATGTCTGGTTGTCATTGCCTGACTGGTTGACAAGATAGGTGTGTGTCTGTCTGCTTCTCTGTCTGTCTGTCTATTAGTAAAGTACAGTGGGTCGCTTAGTCCTGACAGGGCCTGCAAGAGCTCAAGCATGTTAACCTCATGTAAACATCTCTAAGGCAAGAAGCTGCAGTGCCCCCACATTGCAATCTTAAGTGCAATATTATGCATCCTGGTGTCTCAAGCATAACACCATGCATTTGAATCTGGCTCATGAATTTTATTACATGCCATCCCCATGCTGCATCACAAACAGACGTGGTTGCTGTTAACTAGGAGGTTGCTTGCAAATGTATTCCCTTTGGTTTTTGTTTCTTATACACCTAAGCCGTGCATTAGAATGCATTTGAAACCCATAGCCTGCGGGGTACGCTTTACTGACATTATAAAGACTGAAAGGCTTTGTTTGTATTCCTATATAATGGTTACGAGTCTCTGTCCTGTGTTGTTCTCTGTTCTCTGTACGTGTTGAGGGTAGCTAATTCGCCCATATTTGTATTTGTGGTGTAGATATTCCTGTTTTCCCCTTTGCTTCCCTTTGAGCTTCTTTGGCTGCTCCGGATTTGTCTCCCTCTTACTTTTTGCCCGTCTTTTATGTTTGAAATCTCATGAGTGATGTGCTATTTTTAAAAGATTTCATCATGCTTCATTTGACACAGGATATTACATAACTGGTTTCGAGCATGCATGAACTTCACTGGCTGTGTGTGTTTTTGTGTATGTTTGCACTCTGTATGTGCATTCTGCAAGTTTGGGGGTGTATTTATGTGTTCTTGGGCTTCTACCTGCATGGAGGCCACATATACACAGTGCAGCAAAACCAGAAAAAGTGAAAACACTTGCCCAATCTTCTCTTTAAAATGGAAAATAAAATCTACTACTGAGATGATTTTATCTCAGGTTTCTTACAGGTCTAAGTTAAGTTAGGGATCAGAGTTTCTACAAAGTTTAAGCTCAGCTACACAATGCTGTGTGTAATAGTCTCTAGGGGGTCAAGGAATCGATTTAAGCTAGTGAAATACTGCAACATCATGTACTTTTGTGTGTGTATATGTGTGTGTGTGTGTTTCCTCAGGGTGTCCTTGTTCGACTACCAGGCCATGTGTAAGATGAACTTGCACTCTGTCAGCAGCGCCCGTCCACTTCTCAGTGTATGTACTATACTCTCACTCTGTATACACTATTATTAACATAATAGTCCAATCAACTCTGCAGTCACTATAATCTATCTGTCTGTCTGTCTCTTCAGCCATTCTATGGTTTGGCTTCAGCCCTCAAGTGGTTCCTCTCCAACTTCCTATTGTAAGTGTTGCTAGGGGCAACCAGAATGTCAGTATGTCCATAATAAGGGGGATTTTTGTTAAAATTTGCTATTGTGTATCACTATTCAGTAAATGTATTTTTTTACAGTCTTTACACATTTCTTATGGATTAAACAAACAAGATATAACTGTATTGTTAATTATTGAGCTTTAGAGATACGAGTAGGCAGACTGTTGATGTTCTCTCTTGTGTCCAGTCTTCATTCCGAACTAAGCTAGCTGGCTGCTGATTAAAGCTTCATATTCATAAGAAAGCCTATTTCCCAAAATGTTGAACTATGCTCTTTAAAGTTATCATCCTAAATTGGATCATGAAAATTTGAAAGGGGGATTAACAGCTTCAATTTTTACTGCAGTGACTTGGTAAGGCTAAAGTCACATGGTCCTTTCAGCAGCTTCATTAAAAAGAACACACTGGTTATCCATTTAGGAAAAAATACGGCTACCAAAGCTACCAGTTACTGCTGAAAAACTTAAGGACCCATTTTAATATTCCCATGACACAACTTTGGGTCCTGGCCCACTTTTTGAAAGCTGCATGCAATCTGCTTGCAATCTGCTTTGGTCTAACGATGGCTGCCTAATTGACTCCCTCTCTCTGTCCACTCTCCTCTTCTCTCTTCTTCACAAGGTTTCTACTGGAGTTTAATATCTGTGGCTTCTGGCACACAGAGCATTTCGCTGACGGTAAGCTCTACAAGAAAAATGTGGTCAGATAAGGTCAAACTCTTTTGTAGGCCAAATGTCCTCTAATATGTGCTTTGAAATGTATAAATCATGTTTATTCTGTAAATCATCACAACATTTAGAGTAGATCTGGATTGCTGTGATATTAACCAATTATTCATAAATAATGTTCATATCTACATGGATTTATTTAAAAATTTACACAAATAAAGGAAGTCTGGGCTAATAATACTAACCTTTAACCCTTCACTCACGCAAAAAAACCCATTACAATTTTACCATTTCGCTCTGTGCTACCAGTCTCCACAAACATGTTACAGTGGTTCAATACCAGTTACTCCTGTGAGTCATGTGCAACATTGATCACCAGTCTCGAGATCATTATGGAAAGATAACATTGTGTCCTGTGACACTCTCACCTCTCATCCGCCTCGGTCTCTCCATCGATCACACGTTCACCCTCCTCATTACTCCACCTGTCCATCATGCACTTTTCCTCATACTCTACATCATCATCAACATCCCTTCATTCAGCCAAGCCATCTTTCAGCGTGTGTGAGTATCTGTCTTCTGGTGTTTTTTTTTTTTTTTAGAGAAAACCAGTCCTCTCTGAAACTACCTATTTTGTGTATGTGTGTAGTGTAGTGTTTGTAGTATACTTCAAACAAAATGAAATTTGGTCTGTCTGATTGTGAGAGTAGCTTTCGGTGGAAACAGGGGCAACTGGCACTTCAAAACAAGAACTAAGCTTTGTGTTTCACTGAAACTAATGTCATTCTGGGGAAATGAGGCAGAAAGCATGGCGCACATCCAGATGTGAAATCGACAAGCCATTATAGCTCTTTCTGCTTTCAAACCCATCATTTTACCTGTACACAGACACCAAATTCAATTTTGTTTGGAGTACACAGCAAGCTAGAGTACCACCTCTGGTCATGGTAGACAGCGCAATAAATGGCTGAAGTGTGAACAAATTTAGATAGGACCCAGTTTTCTCCTGTCAGTCACAGACAAAACATCGCACATACACTTTTACACACACTTATTCTAAATCCCAACTTCAAGACACAACCCATATCTATTTCTTTATTAGCCTCAGCTCATAAGAAAAAAGGGGACATCCTGCAGCCGTGCGACACCGAGTACCCCAGCTTCGTCTACGAGCCGTCAGTCAAAGAGACCAACAGCATTATTAAGTGTGGACGCTGCCAAAAGTAAGCACACACTCTAGCACACGTATGCACACACAAATCTGCAGTGCAGTCCTCTCTAAGCCCTAGTCATATTAAATTGTCCTTCCAAAATCCATTTTCTACGGCTTTGCTCTGCTCTGCATACTGAGGGCAGTGTGTGTTTATACAAGAGTATCGGGAAGAGGGAAATAAGTAAAAAGGAGCGGAATTAGATCACGGTGCACAAGGTTATAGAAAGCGTGTGGAGAGCGAGAGAGAGAGAGAGGGGGAAACTGAGCAAAAGTATTAAGAGGGGTAAATGAAAAACCGGAGAGGTGGGGGAAGAGTGGGAGACAGAAACTGAGATGGAAAAACAGTGGAAGGCAAGAGGAAGGGGAAGAGGAGGGAAGCATTAGTGTGTGTGTGTGTGTTTATGTGCTGCCGCGTGGGTGTGCGTGTGTTTGAAAGAGAGAGAAGAAAAGCTGTGGTTCTGTTTACTATATTACTAGGTTTGTAATCATAGGTTGAGTGTGAGCTCCCTCTTGAGGCCAAAAGAGGTACAACATAGCACAAAACCTGCTTACAGAACCACAGCTGGGCAAGAGTCCTATATTTCGATAGTGTTTAGTTCACTTTATTACCCATTTCCATAGAAACAACCCTATAAATTATGCAAAAATGTATTTGTTTTTTTCATAATATTATATTTTGTTTATCAATGTAACACTATGGACATTGAATCTGCCCTGGCATGGCATCCCTGACTTGACAAAGTGTTAATGTCACACATTACATGAGAGGTTTTGTTTGTGTGCACATTCTCACACTCTTTCTATGCATGTGTTTGTGTGTGTCAGGATGTTTGTGGTGCAACAGATACCAGACAGCAACCTGTTGATGTTGGTGGTGCAAGCAGACTGTGACTGCTCCAGACATTACCCACCCATCACCATGGAGCCCAAGGAAGTCAAATATATCCTTTGATATTTTGGTATTCGTGGAGTATGCTGGTTATCTTGAGAAAACGTATTACAAATATAAGGTACAGCTCTGTTCCACCTTATCTTCTGCTACTAACATGCCAGTGTATTTGTATATTCTGAGGCCCAGTGTGTTCCTGCTATAGTGCATTTCTGAAATATGTCGTTTCCAGTGCAAAATGCTTTTCTATTATTTTGAATTAGAAATACAAGACAAGCCTTTCCTGTTCCCGTTGTACTCCTTGACCCCGCTGTACATAATGCTTCAGTGAAGTGCGACAGGATGAGGTCCCAGAAGATTCGCCGACGCCCAGAGTCTTGCCATGCCTACCATCCCCAGGTTAGCTTCTCGTTGGCTGATTACCCATAAATCACCTTGACATCAACCAGCATCTGCAGCTTTTACCAAGTGTAGATTTTTTGAAAATGTGTCTTGAATGCAGTTATTATAAATGTCATCTCACTGTCTTGCTACACTGGCTCTGTGCACCAAATAGTACTTTCTAATTTGAGTGTGCTGTTTTTATCAATCGTAGCTTCTGTATTGACAGGAAAAGGCTTAAGTCGTGGCATAAACGCAAAGTGAAATCACTTTCTGTTTTGTCCCTGTAGGAGAATGCCAATGACTGTGGAGGAGCTTCTGTTATATCTCTCTCTGCCTCTCTCTTCCTCACCTGTCTCTCCTTCTCTGCACTTGTCTCCTGATGATGGACAACTTGGCTGTTTCACCCTTTCTCGTATAAAGGAGGAGATTGAAGTGAATCAAGAGATGTGTTTGGATACTGGACACCTCAAGTGGATTCTTTTTTGTAAATGTACCTAATTCTGCACATTTGGCTCATTACAAACACAAACCTAGCCTCTAATGACGGACCTTTGATGTGGTTTTTGAGCATTTATTGGTTAACTGGAAAACTGGAAATTATTTCATCTGAACTGAAAGCTGCAAAGAAAGCAAGTTAATGGGCTGTTGTTGCCATGGATACTTTCCCATTTGTTACTTTCCCATACACCACTTTGCATTTCAAAATGAAAAGGGACTAAAGAGATGCAGGTGGTAGCTATGACGTGCATTGATAAAAAAGGGGATTATGAGTCACGAGATGCAGCATAAAGTCCAGGGGGAAAAATATGTCTCTCGTTTCCTTTCTCCCACTGAACTGAATTTTGCAGACACACATGCATATTATATATGCAGCTGCAAGCATGCACACCTCGAATACTTCATCATGCTGAATGCTTCATCTACAGACTACAGGCTTTTTTAAACATTGAATGAGAGGAGGGAGAGCAGGGCTACAGCAATATATGGTGAACATTGTTGTGTAACATCAGTGTTGCTGCTCATGTTAAGGTTGTTTTCCAATATTAGTTTATCTGAATCTTCTGCAAATGTCTTCACAGTGTGATCGCTCAGTGCCAAGAAAGTAATCGCAATGGAGTCACATGAATATAAAAATGTAATAAAGATAATCAAAAAATCTGAATCTGAGTTCCTACAGGAGTTTTTACTTTGATTACATCCCAAAAATATTTGTTTCTGTGACATATCTTTTTAAAATGTCTGCCTTTCTGTCTTTATCAACTGTGTCTTTCTGTGTGTTGGCGCATACTTAATGTAAATAAGTCTGTCTATTTGGCCGGACAACTGGAACTGTCTCTTGGTGTAGATCTACAATCGGCATGGATGACATGATCATGGATTCAAAGTGTCTTTAGATATGATTTTTTTCTAGGGTTTCAACATACAACATACGACAGAAAAGATCCAGTTGTACCTTAACATATATGTTCTGAAATTGAAATTAAAAGTTTTTTTTAAGGTGGCGACGGATACTTTACTTAGGCCCCAAGGTCATGTAACTGCTACTTATTACTTGGCATACATAACAATATAATTTTATGAGAAAAGCAAAAAAGTGCTCTCCCTGGGGAACAAGATTGTCATGTGAAAACTGAGTTTAATTCTCATTGTGTAATAGCCTGATTTTGGAAGCATCATATATATATATATATAGATATGCAATGTAAATTAACAGTGTAAATCTAATGGCATAGGGTATTTTTGTATGTGTTTCATATTCTGGACTTAAGCATTTCATTGTATTTTGGGCTGTTAGTGTCCCCGTAGCTTTTTCAATGGTATTTCTGAATCACCTTACAAAGCATGTCTTTAAGTTGAGCTTATACTCTGATGACAAAATTGCCTGAGAATTTGCCTGTTTATGTAATAGACTCAGATACATCTTGTGTGTGGGTGTGCATCTTTACAGTACAGTCTGTCACCTGTCTCATTTTTGTTTGTAATTTCCACTATACAATATTCTGTATATTGTATGATTTACATGTGTCCACATTGTATGTCGGTTGACTGAAGCCATGATTTGTACAAAGCAAATTAAATTATCCATATGGTTTTTGTACTGTTTTTGCTGACTGTGTTTTCTTTCTTGGAGATTAAAAAAACAGCTTATACAAACAGAATCAGTCAAAGAATTCTACTAATACTGCAAAGATTCATATCATAAATGCATCATAAATCAAAGCAAGGTAAATTCTGATTTCTTTGTATGTATATATATATATATTGGGGGCTTTTATTGCCTTTAATTGATAGTGACAGGAAAGAAGGGGAGAGAGAGGAAATGACATGCAGCAAAGAGCGGCAGGTCGGATTCAAACCTTGGGCCTCTGCAGCCAGGACTCAGCCTTGGTAAATGGGGCACCAGCTCTACCAGGTGAGCAATCAGAGCACCCAATTCTGATGTCTTTTAATCTTTATTAAATCCCAAACATTTCTGTGCATTGACAACAAACTACCCACAACAAGTGCTTAAAATTGTTTGATTATTTTCTTTAAAATAATCTGAAATATCACAGTCTCCCACAAAGGTATTTCAAAATATACTATATATTGTTTAATATTTTCATGGGTAATTTTGATATTTGACATTATTCCCCTGAATTCTTAAAGCAAGATCTTTGAATTTTACAAAGAAAAACAGCAACTATTCTGCAGCCTACGACCTCTGCAAGATTCAAGATTCATGAGGTTTATTATCATATGTACAGTAAGAAACACAGTGGTTTGTACATACGATGAAAATCTTACTTTGCCCGACTCCCTGAGGCAACACACAAGTACAAGAGCAAGAATATAAAAATTAAAAATATAAAAAAATTGTAATATAAAATATTACTAAATATAACATAACTGCAGCTAAGTGCAGAACATTGTACAGTAAACAAAGAAACCTGTGTTGAATAAGGTGCTATGCCTCACAGTTACACTTAAGGTGCAGAGAGACATTACATCACAGTGGGAGTGACTACAACTACAAAAAGGTGTGAACCTTTATAAAAAAGGTAAAGTGTGAGTTTACTTTCAAATAATCCGAAATATCACAGTCTTCAACAAAGGTATTAATATGAATATCTTGATGGGTAATTTTGATGTTGCACCATCAGTCCCCTGAACCCTTAAAGCAAGATCTTTGAATTCTACCAAGAAAAACAGCAACTATTTTGCAGCCTAAAAAGGTATAGTGTTGATTATCTCTACTTATCTCATAGAATCTGAATCCAATATAACTTAATGCGCCTTGATTTGATTTCCCTCAACTGAATGAATCAGGATTATTTTATCAAATGTTCAGATGCTGCAGTAGAATATAAATAACAAATGACTCATCTGTAGCATCACCCAGTTGGTTGTGTGCGTTCAGGCCCATACATACATCCCTCTTCATTAGGCTATAATAGAATAAACGACTTTTCCACACTCGTGCTGGTCTGATTGTCAATGCTGTCCACAGCAGGTGTTGTAATTAGTGAAGTCGACCGGCAGGGGCGCTCGTTTTCCCTCTCTGTCTCATTGTTTGTGGCTCACTGTTGCTCTGCACCGCCGGGCGGAGAGAGCGACGGGTCAGAGGAAAATGGCGGACGGTGTGGATCACATCGACATCTACGCCGACGTAGAGGAGGAATTTAGCCAGGTATTTAATCCACATTCACCACACTTCGACTAACGGTGCTGTTACCCGTATATTAATGTAATTATTTGTTATCATTATGACCGGAGAGCGCCGTGCTCTGCCTGTCAGACACAGCTTCTCTGGCTCACAGGCCCCCCTTTCACCATGCTGCAAGTCTGCATCCTCGGCTACAATTATCGAGTCGAAATGTTGCATCCGTGGTGTTTAACACGACTTCTGCTACACGTAGTTGTTTATATGCAATGTGCAAACGTAGGCTCTTTCTTTGGGTAAATGCGAAAAAGGCAACTTCTTCATTGTTCAGCATTGACAGCTTTTTAAGGCCTCGGCCTCGACGACTGTGGCGGGCAAACAAACGTAGTTGCGTTAGCTGGCCAGGTAGCGTTAGCTGCGTCTCAAATAATTGTGTTTTAGTGAGTTGCTTTCTAAGTGGTTTGTGCTGTCACTTCACACAAGCAAACGTTGTGTTGGGACGGAGTTAATTGGATTGCTGTTAACTTGTTAGGGGTAAAACGTCGAGTGTATTATAAATTAATTTAGTAGAAGTAGGAGTTGTTCTGTTAGCTTCGTGTAGCATTAATGTGTCTCCGAGATGTTTTCTTCCTCCACACACACACACACACACGCCCCTTTTGTTTACAACTTCGAAAAGTCGGTTTTAGCCCAATCTAGGATGCAAATAATGGGGTTTTTTGTTTGTAGGTCATGTAGAGACAGTGTTATCTCCACCAACACCTTAATGAACCATCGTGCACCCTCGAGATGCGTTCAGGTGCTCATGCTTGCAGAAGTCGCACAGCTTGCCTGTCGTTTCATTCATGACATTTTTTCTATTAAATAATGAAACCTGAGGTCAGCAAGGCTAATGGTGTAGTAAAGAGATACTAGAAAAGTAGAAAAGGGGGTCCGCTTATATGTCAAAAGTTAGTAAAAGACTCATTAAGGTTATTTTAGTTAAGTTGGGTTATATATCTGAGACGGACAAAGAGTAATTATAACCTGCCTCTGACTCTGCCTATGGCCGTCCCATGTTGCCCTGACATGAACCCTGTGATGAGTATTTCGACATGCTCCCAGTTGGAGTTGTCAGCAATACCTTTACACAATAGCTGTTTCTCAATAACCTGTTGCTGCTACATGCATTCAGCCACTGTGTTGACCTGCTCCAGGCACTTCCAATTAATCAAGCGTCACTTGCTAAGATTTAAGATAATCAGATTAAAGTATTTAAAAACAAGCCTGTTTAACAGTTTGGCAGTAAATAAAGAGTCCTACCATCTCAGTGGATTTAATGTAATGTACAGTACAATGTACACTTTAGGAAAAGTTGGCAGAATATATATAAATATATATGCATATGATTTGCACCCTGTCTATACAAAAATAAAAAAAGTGCAGTTTTTTTTCCCAAATTAAGAACCATTATTGCACATCAGACAAATCATCATGATTTTATATCCTATTGGATATAATAAGTAAACTACAACACAAAAGTATGTTCGTGCAATGTCTTGAATTTACTGAAAAATAAAAATATATTTAATAAATTAATTTTTATTCCACAAATTTTGGTACTGAATATCGTACAACTTTATAAAATTTTTACACACTTACACTCAAGGCGGGTATAATTAGTGTTGTGGAACTGCTCATAGTGTGTCCCTCATGTTTGCCTCTTACTGTCATGTTTAACAGGAAGCCGACTACCCAGTTCACGAGCAGATCGACCTGTATGATGATGTAATATCCCCATCAGCCAACAATGGCGATGCTCCAGAAGACCGCGACTACCTGGACACACTGCCTGCACCAGGTGGCGCAGAGGGAGGAAAGAGTGCCCCACCCAACGTGGTGTACACCTACACAGGCAAAAGGATTGCCTTGTACATAGGAAACCTAACATGGGTGGGTATCACAGAATTCTGTTCAGGCTACTTGGGTCTGTGGAGGGCAGTATTGACATTATATCCTCTCAAAGTAGCCAACATTTTCCTTTAAGGTACATTGTGTAGTAATTTCTCCCATCTAGCGGTGAAATTG